TTGTGGGACCGGAACTCTAAGCTTACCTGGTTTTTGTTTAACCAGGGGGCGCCGAAGATGGCGTCGTATCTGTCGATGTTTATTACATCAAAGTAGTGTTTTTCTACATGGCCATTGATTTCAACGTCCACGTTGGTTCCGAACAGGATCTGTGATCTTGTTCCTTTCGTCCCCATTTGAAGGATGACTGGGTTCTCCAATTGGAGAATTGGGATGTGGACCGTGTGGACAAAGTCCGGCAATAAAGCATCTGTTTCGGCTCCACTATCGAATAGCGCATAGGCTTTTATGCCTGCTATTTTTATGTGAGCTGTTAGCGTTCTCTTCATTGAGAGCGGTCTGTTTGTGGGGTATTTTCCTGCGTCTTTTGAGATGCGGAATTTCGCATTGAACAAGGGGGACTGGGTTTCGATGGGCTTTTGGTCCTTCTTCCCTTTGTCCTTGTTTTCCTTGGGTACTTTCGTGTATTTCCCCAAGGTGTCTTTTCTTGGTGCTTCCACCAAGGCTTCGGCAACTTTTTCGTCTGCCATGTTTTCTAACTGGTGTGCTACCGCCAGTTTGATTTTATAATTTATGTCATCGTGGTCGATGACTGACATTGGGCCCATTCTTATGGTCCCAACGTTAACTTCCTCACCCTCTGAGTCGGGTAAGTATTGAGGTCCTTCGTATGGGTCCTCTACTTCGAAGCTTGATGCTTTGGAGTTGCCAGAGTTGTTCTCTGGTTTTTCATCTGATGAGTCTTTCGACTCTTCATCCATTGAGTTCGCGATTTCCATGGCGGCTATGCACCTTGGTTTTTCATCGCTCGTTATATTGTGTCTTGGGCAATCTTTTGTTTGCCCTATTTTGCCGCATTTGCCGCAAATTGGAACTGACTTTTGGTCAGTTTTCCTCGAGTTTTTCGAGGGTGTATCCTCTTTCCATCTGGGTTTCAGCTCTTCCGCCTTCTTTCCTGATGGGAGGGCTCTGCCGCGGCTCATGGTTGCCATGGTAGTTGTTCGGGTATAGTAACCTGATTTGTAGGCTGAAGACATCTTCAGCCCGTCGATTATCTCGTCTACATGAGATATTGCTTTTAACATCTCCTCATTTGAGGAGAAGTCTGCTCTGATTCTATCATGAGCAATCATTTCCCTCTTCCATTCAAGGGGAATGTAGTTTAGGAACCTGGCATTGAAAGATGCCTGGTCTGGCGGCATCACCATCTGGGACACTGCTTTTGACAGTTCTACGTAGAACTGTTTTAGGCCTTTTTCCGCTTCGTATTTGACGTTGCAGTATTTCTTTGTCGTGTTCAACGCGGTGGAGGCTTTGATGAAGGTTCTCATCAATATGTTGAGAACTTCGAGGAACATGCCCTCGTCTCCTCTGAGGAGAGTTTCGTCTCGGAGTCTAATTCCGAGGTCAAACGCGGGCCCCCCTAATCCACGAATCAAGCAGTCCAGGTGGACTTCGTCAAATTGGGGACCTTTGCATCCTCGCAAGGCGAGGAATCCCAGTAGTTCTGTGAACCACTGCCAGAACGATTCCATGTCGTTCTCCCCTGACCATTTCTTGTCAGGAAATGCCAGCCCATTCTTTAGGGCTTCTGGCTTCACTCCTTCTGGGTAGGGAGTGAGTATTCTCACTTCGGCCATTCTTATGGCCTTTTCGTACCATTTCTCCAGGTACTCTTCTTGCTCCCCTGCCTTTGTGGGGTCGCTATCCAATGGAGATCTCTCCTTTGGGGGGTTTTTGCTGGGGGAAATCTTCCTCGCAGCGTTTCTTTGGTTTCAGGCGAATTTGCCTGAAGTTGTATTTGTATTCTCTCATTGTTTTGAGAGGGTGTGAATGAGTTACCTCTCTGTTCGAGAGGTCTGTCATAAGTGGATGTTTGGCCGAACCTTTGGTACGTGCCAATTCTCCTTCTAATCTCTGAACGATGCCTTCTTTCGGCATCGTCTTCTCCTATCCTTGGGAGAAGGATCTCCTTAGCGTCTCTGTCGAGTCGCTGATGATATTCCAGTGTGCCTTCACTGGTAGTTCTTTTCGTGAATTTTTCACGAGTTCTATTTATGTCCTGGACCGTGGTCCAGGGGTGTTTATTTGTTTCCTCACTTTTTTGTGAGAAATTTATTTCCTTCAGCAAATCTGTTTGTTCGCTGATTTTTTCAGTCAATGCGTCGATTGCATTGGCCATTCTTTCTAGAGTTATCTCTAGACGAGCCGTGCTATTATGGTTCGTTTCCTCGATCTTTTTTTGGATCGAGTTTATCATGTTTATTATGCGTGATTCCTGGTTTTCCAGGAGGAAGTTTGGTTGGGCGAGCAGCGACTCTCCCCAGTTGACATTTCCGCTTCTGGGGGTTCCAGAATGGGTTCTTGGAGTGAACACTCCACGCTCGCTTTGTTTAGGCGAGGCCGTTGTGGAGGGTGCTTCCCTTTCATAGAAGGGTCTGTTCACTGGTTTCTCCTTACTTTTATGTAAGGCTTCCTCAGCGAACTCCCTCATTTCAGTTCGCCTCCTCTTCATTATCTCGGAGACCTCCTCCGAAGTTGGCGACCTTGCCTTGTCTGGCATGGTGTGTGGGAGTGTAAACAGCGGAAGTTCTTTTGGAGCTTCCGCGCTCTGGGAGATCCTGCTCTCAGGGCGTATTTTCGCACCTTCTCGGGCTTTCAGCCTGAGAAGAAGTTGATCTTCACTTTCCGTCCTCCATTCGGACGGAACCTGGAACAAGTCCAGTAGTTTTTCGGATAGCCGTCGCAGGGGCTCTTCCCTTTGTTTCCCTTTGTCTGCCTTTGGGGCTTGACTTGGGGACGTGAGAGGGGACTCCAGGGGATAGTGGGGCCCTGGAGTTTCCTGCGACTCTATCCGATCAGCTTTTTGGGCTGATCGTTCAGCGCTTACGCATTTTTCGCGCAAGTCGATCACCTCGTGAGGAGGTGATGGATCTTCCCCAGCTTGGGTTAGATCGGTATGTTGTGGAGTTCTGGGGGTATTTCGCCCTGCACTTACTCCACGTAAGTTTCTAGAACCTTCAGGGACCAGCCCTGAAGTGGTTGCTAATGCCGGATCATGTTGATCCTCATCATCGTCTGATGACGGCTTTTGGTTTGAATCTCCCTTGATGGGAGATTGCGGTTTCTTTATAAACCGCTCATTTCTTTTTAGTGTCGCTGCAGATGCGACCTTGCCCTTGCGGGCGTGTTTAGGTGCCATAAGCACTTCCAAGTCAGATGTTAAGATTATAGAGATGTGGGTTGTGTTGTAAAACACACCTCAAGCACTTAAAAAAGTGTGAGGTCTTAGGGTTGCTCAGCACACAAGGCCGTAAGTGATACAAGATAGTGTATTTTACGGTGGTGTGTAAGCGGTTACCCGGAGGTTCCCGCTTGCCCACGTGACTATGTGTATCTAATTTACATGTGACTCGGGGTTTGGGGCTATTGCCCTGACATGCTGCCATGTGAGATGGGCACGTGAAGTCAAGCATTAAGTTAGCTGGCCTGACAAAGTTTCAGGGGGTGTAGCTCAGAGCACTAAGGACCCAAATCCGGCTGCTTCAGACCACATGATGTGGACATGTAGGAGATTAGCAGTAAGTCCGGCCTGAATATGAATTCAGGGGGTGACAGCTCACAGGCTGTTGGAAGCCTGGTGGTTAGGGTCACATGTGGATCACGGGCTCAATCCAATGTGAAGGGGGTGTGTTAGAAACCACCTCCACCTAATGCGGGCATTTAGTGTAATGGTAACACACTCTAGGTACCTATGCAGGGCTCTGCGGTTCGACTCCCAGAATGTCCATATTTTATGCATTAAGGTTCCTGAGACCACATGTACAAATTCCAACACAAAGTACAAAACATGGGTCAGTACTTGGGTATCCCCTCATAAATTATTCAGAGAAGAACATGCAACAACACCTGGTACATCCTTAGTACAATACCTTGGGACCACAAGTAAATCATCAACCTGTCAGAGACCAGGTTGAGACGAAGGAGTGTCTCCGTGGCGGGGGGCTTCGGCCTCAGTGACTTATGCCAGGAGTGCTGTGCCAAGTAACATGTCTGTGCCCTAACTTACTAAACTGGCAACCAGAACTGAAGGGGGGTAAACTCTAGTCGATTTTATTACTGAGGTGTAACCTATGTACAGGTTGAGTATATATATAGTTACAACAAGGGCAGGTCTGCAAATGGCAGAGCCGAGCGGAGTGGAGCTAACAGGGTTAGACATTAGCTGATTGAATATTACCGACAAGTTGGGTTACGGGATTAACGGAAAGGTAGGCAATAACCCAGAAACGGAAAGGAGGGATGGGCCCGAAGGTGGGCTTTGCAGGGCAAGCGAGTGTATTGCCCAGCGGAGGTGGGGATGCGCTAGTGGATGTCGGAGCTGTCCGGAAGCCTTTGGGGCTCTGTACTTAGGGAGGCGTAGGTAATAAATTGAAAGGAGGGGGTGGTGACCATTGAGGGGTACCGAGGGGATTGTGGAATATGGGAGCTCCGAGGTTAGTGAAGAAGGAGCGGAGGTAGACCGGAGGGATCGGAGGGATTGGAAGTCGATGGCCAGGGATGGATATGACACAACCGATCACATCTGGGGAACCCAGGTATTCGGTCAAATTTACTAAGGGGCATGTGCACCTTCCAGGTATTTTCCCTGGGGCCTCAGGTATTCTGCTAGGGTATTCCACCGTAAGATACTCCGATTTTCACCTGAGTTTCCCGATGTTTTTTACCATGATTTACTTCCCACTGTGTCATGTAGCTCGCGTATAAGGGAGCTTTCTGGTCTCCCCCTCCCTCAGACTTCTACTACGAGTCTGAGGTGAGATTGATTTTATTATTCTTTACGAAAACTGTCTAACTGTTGGTGCAGATACTTACGCACCATAGGTACATGCAAATTAAGACTTCTACTACGAGTCTGAGATACTTATGCACCATAGCCTTATATTTAAAAGGGTTCAACCCATTCAGGTGAACCATAGGACCTCTGTCATAAACATCGCTTGTCACGTTTACATAAGCACCATCGTTTGTGAATCAATTGGTTGGAAAAGTAGGATATATCGCACCACAATCGCGCTTCGAGGTAGCACCCTAGTTTCGTGGAGGTAGAAGTTCTACAGGCGCGAGAAGATCTACTTGGCATCATGGCTTTGGAGTGCGAAATTAAGTGTGGATCTCAGAAAGCTTTGAGCGAGATGAGTACCAGCTTTTTTTATTTTGCTCACCCTAGGCCCAGACTCTCCAATGACCTTATCTCTTACTCCCAACTCAATTACAGTTTCAAATCTGGGGATCGATCGAATTCTCGAACGTTGGAAAAATGTGGCATCCGTCATATCAAAGGGACCAGCGTCAGTCCCCGAATTGGGAAATGAAAGGACGAGTTTGAGGACTATACGGAGGTGATGATAAAATGTGAATAGTCGACTGGACATTGGGACGCCAAAATACAGATTACTTCGAGCTCAAAGTTGACGAAAAACTCACCCTCAAGAAATCAGCGATGAACGTCAGCGCTCGATGCATTCACAATGATGATCTCTCTCCAGTATTCACAATCTCGAGCCTCTACCTTCCCACTTAGGCGGGACACTAGGGTCGTTCCCATTTCGGGAGGGAAGGTGAGGGTTAAAGGGAGTGTGTTGAAGAGGTTCGACGGGCGTGGGGACGTGTCCTTTGTGAGTGTGTGTGTGCGTGTGTGCTGGATGAACGCTGAAGATAGGGAAGAAGTGAATTATAGGAATTATAGGCAACTTGTTGTAGGTGCGAGTGGGAGTGAGGACGGGACGACTTAGGCGATTGTATATGGATTGGAGAACAGAGACAGACATACAACGAATCGAGTGTGATAATGATCTGATCTCTATTCTCCGAGGATCGCGTCAATAGGGGTGGATGAGGCGGATGAGGCTAGGAACAGTCGTCATGATTGATGAATCACAAAGGCACGATGCCTCCATTCCAATATGTATGTGTGCCTGGACCAGGAAAACGAGCTTCAAACGTGTTGGTTCCATTCGAATCCGAATTTAGGTAAATCCGAGGCATCTGGCAGAGATGGATGTGGGTTGAGGTTGGACCGATGCACAAGTGGTTGGATTAAGTGTGTAGGTATGGACTGATAAGCTGACTTGTACTTGACAAGTGCGCTAGTTTCCGCTTCGCACGCTGTGTCCCGTTCGCAGGGAAGGAAAAAAACTAAAGATTATAAATCAAAAAGAAGGCAAACTGCATGTTGTCTTCCTGTACAGCGACGGGAGCCCAAGCGATAGACCTATCTAGGTAGTAGGGAACGGTCCTCCTACGTGAAGTCAGTTGATCAATACGGGGCCACCGCGGGCCTGCAGTCCTCAGAGCTTCGCAGGTGATGAACAGTTTGTCCGCAGTCTCTCCATCATTGCTCGTCGGACCTTATCGAGTATCTGTACTTGGGCTCACACCCACTGCAAGAACGGCGCTTATTCCGTGAGGAACTTCCTAATTAGTCGGCTGCAGGGCTGTGGTATTCATACTGTCCAAAGTCACTCTGACACCGTGTTGAACTCTGGAATCTTGCTCGATCCCCATCACAACCTATCCGACATGAAGCGCGCTCAAGAAATCAAGGGGAAATTCAAGGGGAAATTCAAGGGGAAATTCAGGGAGATATTCCCGAAGAAAGACACTTCATCGCAAAGTGGCCAAGCATCAAGGGTGCCTTCTCCCTTGCCATCCTCGTCCGGCAACACTAGAGGAGATATCGAGGAACATACCAAAGGGAGCGTCAAGGGAAGCATTGAGGGAAACACCAAACAAGCATCGAGGGTGCCTTCTTCCACACCCTTGCCGTCGTCGTCGGCCGACCCCAGCGACGACACCAGAGTCAACCCCAAGGGAGACGATGAACGAACTCTCAAAGGAAACATCGAGGACGATGTCAAGGGAAACACCGAGGGTGACACTAAAGGCGCCACAGGTGTTGGTACCATTTGGAATGGTGTTAAGAGCGTGCTGTCCATTGCGCAGGCGACTCTGGACAGTGTTCCTGTTCCCGGCCTCAAAGGCGCGATCAGTGGCTTCCTTGAAGTAGTTAGCCAATTAGAGGTGTGCTCTGTCATAAGCGCTAGTGGGGACATCATGTTCAAACTCTTATAGAAAGTGGGAGCGAATACCGATGCGATTCGTCAGCTTCAGAAGAATATTGAATTCTTTAAAGATTCAATATCTGAGCCTCTCAAACGCTATGGCCCTAAGGATCCTATTCCTTCCGAGGTGGCTGAGGCGGTCGGTGCTTTGTCGGCGTGTGTATACATCTCTGGTTGCCTATCGGAGTCGGGCTAATCTGACCGTTTCATTCAGCCGGCTTAATGCAGTTATTGCACCATTGCAATTGTTTCTCGACCAGAACTCTGCGTCCCTATGGGTGAATCGCGACGAAATCGAAGGGGCTGTTCGTCTGGCTGGGGAGGAGATACGTAATGCTGTGATCGCCTTTCAAGTTGGTACTCTCCTGGTATACCTAAATTATGCATTTAAAACTAATTACGTGAACCTAGGCTTTGCAAGCAGTCCAAGGCAATTTAAGAATGGAAACTATCCTTACACAGATTAAGGTACGGCGCAGTTTGCATCAGATCTCTCAAGCTCCTAGGCTGACCAATCCGTTAGCGACTTCCTGACCACCTTAGGGTAATTTCTGTTTGTGGCCATGGAAATCATCCTTTCTGACTGTTTCCGAGTACAGACACACGACGAAAACTTGGAGGCAAAGCGGCTTGAGTCCTATCTCAACAAACTTCCCCATGTTCTCGGTGCTGGCTATGACACCAACCGCCCTGGTGCCCCATCTAACTGTTTCCCTGGGACACGGGCCCAAATTCTTGATCATATCAAGCAGTGGCTGAAACGACCGGTTAGCGATACAGGGAAACCAGTATTCTGGATTAATGGTCTAGCGGGGATCGGCAAGTCGACTATCGCGCGTACCATTGCGGAGTACGCTGAGGAGCACGGCCTTCTCGGTTCTAGCTTCTTCTTTGTCCGTCAGGATGCCGAATTATCTCATGCGAAGTTCTTCCTTGGAACAATCGTGCGAAACTTTGCTAAGAAACTTCCTGCATTCGGTGCTGCTGTCGCGGAGGCAATGAAGAAGGATGAGAATCTTCCCTATGCTTCACCTTCCACCCAATACTCCTCACTCCTCTTTGCACCCCTTCGAGGCCTCAACCTATCCGAGCCTCTTGTCCTTGTAATTGATGCCCTGGATGAATGCAAGCGAGACGATGTGGATGGAGTGAAAGAATTACTTCGCTGCCTTGTTCTCGGCTGTGCTGACATCCCTGGTCTCCGCATACTCATGACAAGCAGGCCAGAATCCCACCTCATTGGGGATCTGAACCGAGCGGTGAATGTGGACAAGATTGTGATTCATGAAGTCGATAAGGACATTGCTTCGCAGGACATTGAGTCATATCTTCAGCATGAACTCAAGTCCATTTGCGAACGGTTCAAAGATGCTGTTCGAGAACCATGGCCAACAACTGACATGGTTTTAGCCCTTGCAGGGAGAGCTGGCCGCCTCTTCATCTGGGCTGCTACTGCTATCAAATTCATAGGTGATGATGATGCTCAGGATCCAATGTATCAACTGGACTCCCTCTTGAAAGATGACTTTGATGGAGTTGATGTGGATCCTTATGCTGAACTTGACAAGCTGTATGAAACGGTTTTGTCTGCTTGCATTGCCAAAATTCGACCTGGCATGCGTGACCAGTTCTACCATATTCTACATACCATTGTTCTGCTCAACAATCCATTACCCCTAAAAGCACTTGGCACTTTTGCAATGGCTCCCAATTCCACATCAATGCTTACCCGCATCCAATCAATCATACCACTTCCTCCACAGCCAGAAGGCAGAGTTGAGGTCTACCATCCTTCCTTCCCTGATTTTATTTTACAACGGTGCAAGGACTCCCAGCTCAGAGTTGATGTTGTGAAGCATGAGAGGTGGATGGCTCTCCGCTGCATGAACCTTCTCATTGCTGGGCTTGTTCCTGCTGTAGATGAAATTGTGCCATGTTACTCACTCAATGTGGGTGTGAAGGATTTGGGTGTGAAGCTCACTTCACTGGTGGGGGAAGAAGTGCAATATGCATGCCGCTTTTGGACCTTCCATCTAGGAAAGCTTCGGATTGAGATTGCAGATTACAAAGTTAGAGATGCACTGGAGAAGTTCACTGGTGTAGGGGGGAGTGGTAGGAAGGGCCTTTTGCTGCGGTGGATTGGGGTGATGGGAATGATTGGTTGTGTGGGTGATGCTGCCAGAGATTTACGCAACATTCTTCCCTGGATGGTTAGTTATCTAACTCTTTGCCTAATTATAATACTGACTCAAACTAGAGGGCTACAGCACACCTGGCACACATTGCCCCTGTGTTACATGAAGCCTTCCAGATGATTTTGACCAATGCACAAATCATTGAAGCTAGTTCAGCACACATCAGCCAGTCTGTCTTACCAACCCTTCCCACCAACAGCCAGCTGTTAGAGGGCTTCCAACAAGTGCCTAGTCCAAGTGTGACTGTTCATGTTGGGCATAGGGTAGAATGGCCTTCCCATCTTGCCACTCTAATTGGTCACACTGACCGAGTGGGTTCTGTGGCTTTCTCCCTAGATGGATACCTCCTGGCATCAGCATCAGATGATTATACCATTAGGCTGTGGGATCCTCACAATGGGAGCCACCTCAAAACACTTGAGGGCCATTCTGATTGCATGAGATCTGTGGCCTTCTCTCCAGATGGATTCCTGGCATCAGCATCACGTGATTGTACCATCAGGCTGTGGGACCCTCACAGTGGGAGGCATCTCAAGACACTTGAGGGCCATTCTTGTTGTGTGAGGTCTGTGGCCTTCTCTCCAGATGGGATCCTCCTGGCATCAGCATCAGATGATCATACCATCAGGCTGTGGGACCCTCACAGTGGGAGCCACCTCAAGACACTTGAGGGCCATTCTCATTGCCTGACATCCGTGGCCTTCTCTCCAGATGGATTCTTCCTGGCATCAGCATCAGATGATCATTCCATCAGGCTGTGGGACCCACACAGTGGGAGCCACCTCAAGACACTTGAGGGCCATTCTGGTTGGGTGAGATCTGTAGCCTTCTCCCCAGATGGATTCTTCCTGGCATCAGCATCAAGTGATCATACCATCAGGCTGTGGAACCCTCACAGTGGGAGCCACCTCAAGACACTTGAGGGCCATTCTCATTGTGTGACATCTGTGGCCTTCTCCCCAGATGGATTCCTGGCATCAACATCAGGTGATTGTACCATCAGGCTGTGGGACCCTCACAGTGGGAGCCACCTCAAGACACTTGAGAGCCATTCTGGTTGGGTGAGATCTGTGGCCTTTGCCCCAGATGTTTTCCTCCTGGCATCAACATCAAGTGACCATACCATCAGGCTGTGGGACCCCCATGGTGGGAGCCACCTCAAGACACTTGAGAGCCATTCTGGTTGGGTGAGCTCTGTGGCCTTCTCCCCAGATGGATCCTTCCTGGCATCAGCATCAGATGATCATACCATCAGGCTGTGGGACCCTCACAGTGGGAGCCACCTCAAGACACTTGGGGGCCATTCTGATCGGGTGGGATCTGTGGCCTTCTCCCCAGATGGATTCCTCCTGGCATCAGCATCAGATGATGGTACCATCCGACTGTGGGAGCCTCACAGTGGGAGTCACCTCAAGACACTTGGGGACCATTATCATTCCACGACATCTGTGGCCTTCTCCCCAGATGGAACCCTCCTGGCATCAGCATCAAGTGACTATTCTATTGGGCTGTGGGACCCTCACAGTGGGAGCCACCTCAAAACACTTGAGAGCCATTCTGAT